GGCGGGGCGCGTCAGTCCTGCAGGGGACTCTCCCCCTCCCTAAGCCCTCGAATTTGATGTTGCGTCCGTCGTGTTGATTTAGAGAAAACTGTACTGCACTAAAAGATTCATCCGCATGACTGAGTTTAGGCACCGCAAGCTCCTGGCCCCCGAGCGGAACTCGTGGCCTCACGGAACCGTTGGGTACAGGACCCAGAGGCCAGCAGTGGAGACACCAGCCTGGGCGGAAACAGTCCAGCGAGGGCCCAGGGAGTTGATGTTGCGTCCGTCGTGTTGATTTAGAGAAAACTGTACTGCACTAAAAGATTCATCCGCATGACTGAGTTTAGGCACCGCAAGCTCCTGGCCCCCGAGCGGAACTCGTGGCCTCACGGAACCGTTGGGTACAGGACCCAGAGGCCAGCAGTGGAGACACCAGCCTGGGCGGAAACAGTCCAGCGAGGGCCCAGGGAGGCTGGGCCAGCGGGAGCCCAGGTGTCCCTGGAGCCGAGGACACACCACCTCAGGCACGTGCTGCCGCTGGGTGGTACCTGTGCCTTGGCCAAGAAGCCTGGCAGCGGTTCCCAGGGGGACAGTGGAGGGGAGGCAAAGGAGACCTTGTGTGTCCACCCACCCTCCCAGCCCCCAAAGCCTGGCAAAGCCAACAGGCTCATTGCACGTGGCTGGCTGTGCATGTCCACCTGCAGAAGGTGTCTCTGTGTAGGGGGTGCATTTGGCCTGGGGGTACGACAAGCCAGGCCTAGAGGGGTCACAGCAGCTCTGACCGCCAGAGGACCACAGCCACCATGAGCCACATGAGTCCCATGTGACTCGGAGGGCCCGCCACCCCTAGAAGCTGGACACAGGCGTGGGACAGTGTCCTCGCACGGCATCCGTAAGGAGCTAGCCCTGCTGACACCTCAATCTCAGACGTCCGGCCCCCAGAACTGGGAGAAGGTTCCCCCTGCCTGCGCTTTGGGACACAGTCTGTGGCACTTTGTCCTGGCAGCCCCAGCCAAACGGTGCCGGGGTTTCGATGGTGGGTTTCACGTGTCAGTGTGGCTGGGCCCCGTGCCCAGGTCTTTGGTCAAACACGGGTCTCCGTGCCATTGGGAAGGTGTTTTATATGATGAGATCGATATTGACGTTGGGTAGAGCAGACTGCCCTCCATGTGCTGGGTGGGCCTCATCGAATCAGTCGACGGCCTCCAAAGAGACATACCGAGGAGCTGGTGACCAAGGTGTCCTGCAGTGCCACCTGCAGGACAGGGCAGTTCCCGGAACTCGGGGAGTGGGGGCGTCCGGTTTCAGAGCAGCGTAGGCAGAAATGGCGGCTCTCGCCGCCAGGAGAGTCTTTGTCATCAGCCACGAGAGTCACTCAGAGAAGGACCCACTGCCTTCTCTGGGGGCAGATCTGTGGTCACCCGGCCCCGGTGGGTCCCACACATGGCCTCCAACCTCTGCCCTGTCACGGGCTCACCTGCTGTGCTCAGAGCCCTCCTCAGGGACACAGGAGGGGGCGGGGTGCCCCCCAGCCCTCCTCTGGGGACAGACCCCCAGGAGCAGTGCAGAGATGCCCCTGCGGGCAGGCTCGGGGTGTGGGCTGCGTGCTGCCGTGACGGGCCGGTGCCCGCAGCCCCTGACACTGGCCGGAGGGAGGGCGGAAGGGCGCCCACTCACCGAAGCGCTGGGGGGCGCTCCACTGGCCGGGGGGCAGGTCGGAGACCAGCGCTCTGATCCTCGCCGTGTACACGCGGGGGCTGCTCAGCACGAAGGATGTCTTCCACACCTGTCATTTGAAGGGAGAGATGGCAGGTGGGGCCGTGCCCACGGGCCAGCGCCCCGCACGGCGATGGCTTCCGAGGACGTGGGGTGCCGTGGAGGGGGCCCTACTGCATAGGACTAGTGTCCTTATGAGAATCGAGCACTGGGACACACACACACAGGGAGAATGGCAGGTGGATTTCAGACGGATGTGGCCGTGAGCCGGCGAGCCCCCCGATGCGGGGAGGGGCAGGGAGGAGCCTGCGCTGGAGCCTCCGCAGGGACTGTGGGCCGGGGACACCTCGACCACAGACTTCGGTGCCCAGGATGCGGGAGGACACATCCCTGTTGTTTTAAGATGACCACTGTGTGGTGCTTGTTACAGCCACCCCAGGACCCTAATTCCGGCCGCCCACCGGCCGCTGCACAGGGAGCGGAACCATGTCTGAGGCTCAGGCATCAGCTCTAGGAGCCCCGTTCCCGTCCCAGCCCAGGCTCCTGGCGTGCAAGCACAAAGGTGCCCAGGACAGCGGTGACATCCATGGCCTGTCGTATGGTGAATGGAGCCCTGAGCAGTGTTGGATGGGGAGTCCCCCAGGAAGAAGTGTCCCCCAGGAAGAAGTGTCCCCCAGAACCTCTGGGTGGGACCTTGTCTGGAATCAGGGCCTTCGCAGACGGGATTAGCGAAGGGTCTGAGATGAGTCCTCCTGGTGCCGGTGGCCCTGAACCCAGTGACAGTGTCCTTTGAAGGGACAGGAGGGGAGAGACAGACTCCGAGCAGACGCCATGTGCAGACAGGCAGAGGGAATGGGGGAGAAAGGAGCGGGGGGCGGAGAGAGACGGAGCGAGGTGAGCGGACAGGCGGTGGAGAGGCAGAGCGCGCGCGCGGGGACCTTGGCCGCGCACGTGGGCGACCGGCCACCCGGCTAAGGCTGGACCACCGCAGCGAAGCTCGGTTTTGCTGCTTAGAGCACAAGGCTGGACACTGTCCCGCCCAACTCCGTGCCCGGCGTGGGCTAAGCAGTCTGGGGGGTGGGGGTGGACCTCCGTGGGCAGCAGCGTCTGGCTCTGTGGGCTGGGGAGCGCCAGCTCTGACACCCGGGGCTCGTCCCTCAGTACGGAGAAGCCGGGAGGGTGGGCGAGTGGCCGTGTGGTGCTGCCGGACAGCCACACGGCCAGCGACTTACCCTTCGCGATGCTCAGGGCGGCCCGGGCAGGGGACACTCACCTTCTGTATGTAGGGGGCGTCTGTGCCCTGCAAGACACGAGCAAACAGCCCTGGGTGCCCAGTCGCGTCCCCTGGGCATCCAGTCCTGTCCCCTGCAAAGGCCGCATTCGTTTGGGAAAACTGAGTATAAAACGACCACTAACGGAGTATAAATAATAAATGTCACATGGGAATCAATCAACATAATAGGAAATAGATGAGTCTAAAATGATCAGAAATGGAGTATAATAAATGTCATGTAGATCGATAAATAAAAATACTGGAGAATCGAGTGTCAAATGACAAGCAAACGTGTATAAATAATAAATATGTAAATCAATGAAAATGATATAAAAGACTATTGAGTATAGTGTATCAATTAAGTAGAAAAAATCTGTTTCTGGAAAATAAAAATAATAACCTTTTTTAAAGTAGTTTTAGATTTACATAAGCATTAAATATTATCTCTAGTTCGGTATGAATAATAAATACAATACGTAAATAATAAATATAAGTAAATAATTCAGTATACAGTACCAATTACCTGAAAAATACTGGGTCCTTTTATAAATGAATGGATTTGAATTTTTTGAATAGCTTTGGGTTTCCAGCAATTGAGTATAAATGACACATACATAAATATAATAAATAGGTACAAGTAAGTAATGGAGCATAAAAAGCCACTTAGCTCAAAAATACTGGGTCATTCTCTTTTAATCTGGATTTTAATTTTTTTGAGCAGTACTAGGTTGCTAAAAAAACTAAATATAATCTCATCGGTGATTGAGTTATAAGTTATAAATAATACACTAATAGATTAATAAAAATGATAAGTAAACAGAAGGAAATAACGTAGCATAGATCAGTCCCCGGCCTGCCCGCGCGGCTCTGCCCCGTGGACCCCCCGCCACAGCGGCAGCTCGGACGCCGAGCCGCGCTCAGCATTTACTCGTTTTCCTTTCCGTCAGCGTGTCCTCTGCACCTGCCGGTCTGTTCGTGTTTTGTGTATTCGTTTATTCGTTTGTTCTTTTTTTTTTTTTTTAAATTCCAAATGTGAGCAAGATCACACAGTATTCGTTTTCCTAGGGGAGATGTCCGTTGAAACCTTTTGTCCATTTTTATCGGGCAGTGGGTGGGACGTGCGACTTTCCCGATCTTTCCCAAACGACCTCCCTTCCGGCCCATAACTCCCCTTGTGTGTTTTAACTGCGTCTTTGGTACAGTCAACGTGTTTAGTTTTGCGAAAGCTGCGTCTCTTTTTAAGGTTCACATCTATGCTTGCCCACGTTTTGTCGCCCCCAGAGCCCCGAAGTGCAGACCTTGAGGACGGCGGGCGCCCCCAGGGACAGCCCTTTTCACCTTTTGTATTTCGAGTTCATAGTTGAAGTTCGTATTTAGGTGGCTTGACATCTTCCATTCCATGATAGAGTCGGACTCATTACAGCTGCCCGTCATGTTGGGTGCAGTCAGTTTCTCTAGGAGACAGGAAGAAGAAAAAAAACACTGATTGGTAAAACGAATCGAAATTATTTTTGGCGGTACTTTAAAATAAGCCCCCTATGCATGTGGGGGCAGGGGGAACAGAGGGACAAACGTTCAAGGGTTATACATAGGAAAAGCGGAAATAACAGACAGGCAGAGACGCATGACAACTGTGCTGAGATGCTCGGCTCCAGTCAACCTTGGGACTGGCTCCTGGGGGCGAGTCCGTGGGAGGCCCCGCCCACCGGAGACCGGTCAAGCGTGCTCAGCACACAGGCACCTGACGTCCCCTAGAACGTGACGATACCCGTTCGTTGTCCCCTTGACGGCTCAGGCGCCCTGGTCCCGCCTTCGTCCAGGAGAGGGGTCGTGCTCTTTGCTCTGACCCCGTCCCTCCCTCCGTCTCGTCCGTCTCTGCTCAGCCCCGGGCAGCCTGACCGCGTCCCCAGCCTGCCCTGGGCCACCCCTTCCCGGTGACCAGAGCCACCGCTCTGTTACCGAAAACTTCGTCCCCTGCTGCAGACTCCAGCCCGCTCTGATCCAAACGCAGCTGCAGCCTGGTCCCCGTCCTGCACACCCCAGACCCCGCCTGCTGCAGCCAGCTCCTCCCAGGGCCTCCAGCCCCCTACCTCTGCGTGAGGTCCCTGCCCTCCGCCCTCCGCCCTCCGCCCTCCGCCCTCCCCTGAGCCGAGGCTTCCTCTGTGACCACGTCCCGATCTCCGTCCCTCTGAATGTACACTCCCCCCAGGAGCCCAGCCTGTGTCCCCACCCGCCTGCTGGCACCTCACCCGGAACGCTGGCAGGAAGCCCAGCTCCCTGCGGGGCGGTCCCCAGCTCCGAGCTCCCCCTGGCCGCTCCCCCTGTCCCCCCCAATCTTCCCTCGTCCTCGCTCTTCCCCAGTTGATCGCCATCCATGGGGTCAGCCCGTGCCCGGCAGCCCGTCCACGGCCCGGCTTGACATTCAGCTTTATTTTCCCTGCTCTGCTTTGCCAGAATTCACAGACTCCATCTGCGTCCCC